TTTCTGTATTTTCTTGCCCCTGAAATACATTTTTAATTATATTTTGGTATGTGAAAGTTGAAACTAAATACATTTTAAATTTCAAACATTTCAATTATCTTTACTGTTTACAGCATACTGTATATTTAGCATATATTTAAAATATATGTGGATGAGAACATTTTGCTGTATGGGGTTACTGGCACAGTAATGAATGGCAGGAAAACATTCTGTAGTAAATTTATGATGTGTCTGCTGTCTGTTTCTGTTTATAAGCAGCCCCGCTGTGCCTCATCTGTACCCCACTGATGGAAACCCTGTTTACCATGACTGCTCAAAGGGGAATCTGGCTCAAAACGTCTAATTTTCGGTGGACACAATAAGGATGACAGCACGCACCGAGCTGCTTGTCTGTGATAGAGGCTTTTGAGAAGGGGTTTATTGAAAGACCAACGCATGGGCACTATCCTGCCATCCATGAAAAGCCATTGGCTCATATAATCAATTCTACTCAACATTCATGAAATCTAGCAGTGTGTGCCGGTGATAGACGTCACTCTGGCTTTGTTTTTCTTTTTTTGTAGAACTGATGGAGGGAGAAAGGACATGAGGAATGACTGGTATTTCCATGCCCTTTATACAGAACACACACAACCAGGAATTTACAGATTGATTTTTCTCTATGCCATTGTCTCCATTATCTCTACTCGCTTTTTCTAACACACTTTTTCAACTTCCCAAAGAGTATTCTTTTTTCCATTTGCATCTTTCTCATCTTTCACTGGTTCTTAACAGTTTTATCTGCCATTACGTTTGGTAGTAGCTACTATTTGTTTGTTTGTTTGCTTGTCCTCAGATCCAAAACTCAATCATTTATAATAATAACTATAAATATAGATTATTGCTACACACTGAAGAGTTTAATCTTAAATAATAAAAAACTATTTTAAACTTTTTGTCAGATATTTATTCATAATGTTCACAATGTGTGATGTGCATAAACATTTATATTTCACTTTGTTTTGTCCTGTTCGAGAACCAGTCATCTAAATATTTGTCCAAGTCTGAGTTTAGAGACCTTCTGAATCAAATCTTTCGTAGGTTATAGTGGTGCAGTAATTCTTTCAGACACATTGCCACACCCTTAGCATAGATTTACCTTCCGAATCAATATTATTTAACGTTTATATTCATATTTAAAAACTGCTGAGCTAGACAGCTTCCTCATGTTAGTCACCCTTTTTCTTCAAAATACAGCTGAAAGAGAACCAACTCTTCTGTTCATGTTGGCAAGCCACTGTAAGCAGTATTATTAGCCTAAAAAGCATTGATGTATGCAGAAGTGTCATGCCCTTTCAAACTGACACGTGCCACCTCTGATTTTTGAGTCATTTGGAAAAACATGTATCCTTAAAATGTAAGTAAATAATGACTGATAATGCTGATATCACCCATTCACAAGCGTAAATATTGTCAGTATTTAATTCAACCTGAAAATTGTGGCATTACCTTATATATATATATAAGGTAGGATATTTCAGTTATAGGCTACTGTAAAAAAAAAAACTGACGTTCTACAGAGAAGAATATTTGTCACATAATCATAACTGGAGTACATTCTACAATAAAATACCATTTTAATTTTTCTACGTAAAAAAATAGCATTTTATTTAATATGTTACTTGCTGTTTCTTAGCAATTGTTTGTGAAATTTAATAGCAATTTATAAGTTATTTATATTAAATATATATGTTTAATTGTTTGCTCGCTTTTCTTTTCTTTTCTTTTTTTTCTCCTTCTAGAGCACCACATGAGCCATGACTGCCACCACTGGCACTTCAAAAAATGAGCTGCAGGATGCACACTTTAAATATCACACTTCATCAAAAGTAGCATAGGCCTACATTTAGCATCCAGCATCGTATTTAGGACAGTCTGAGACGCAAATATAATAGATGTGAATGACAACTTGAGTGATGAACTGATTGGGTTGATCAGGTGCTGTCGCGCTCTCGTAGCATCTGATTGGTGAAGCTTGTATCGGTCGCACCAGCGTGCATGAGGATCCTTTCTGTGGAGCCTTCAAAGTTAAGGGGACAGACCTCGCAGGACTTACCGACATCGATAGACTTATGTACGGGCTTAATTTTAAACCAGATGGAAGCCGCCTTGATTGAAACTCTGGCACAGGTCGCTTCTGATAAACGGTGATTGTGATGTTCGGGAATGTGCTCGTGGTGGGTCTGATTCTGAAGTGACTCATGCTTGTTCACTGTGGAGCTGGACTAACACAGCCGGACATGGATGATCATGGTTCCGCGGACGCATTTCGGAGAGGAAACGCAACTTCTGTTTTCATCCTGCCCCATGTAACTTTGGCACCGACATGTAAACCAGAATAAAGTGACAGGTTGGACATACCGGCTGTCTTTTCATTCAAAAAAGAAGGAAAAAACGGGAATCTTTTATCCTGTTCAACATAAGCGCGTGTACTCCTCGCAAGGATGCCCGGAGTCCTGGGTCTGTACATTGGGATGGAGGTGCTGATTGCCCTTTCCTCGGTCATTGGGAATGTGATGGTGGTCTGGGCTGTGAGAATCAACCGATCACTACGGGACACGACCATTTATTTCATCGTCAGCCTGGCTCTGGCAGACATTGCGGTCGGGGCACTTGTCATTCCTCTGGCTATAACCATAAGCATCGGACTGAAGACTCATTTTTACAGCTGTCTGCTCGTTGCATGTACTGTACTGGTACTAACGCAAAGTTCAATACTCGCCCTCCTGGCTATTGCTATTGACCGCTATCTGAGGGTCAAGATACCAATGAGGTAATGTTGGTTGCTTGAAACTAATTTAACGGGAATTAATTTCCCATTTCCAGTTCTGTTTTCTTTTTCTTAATGCATGATGGTTTCGTGTCATGCATGTGGAGGTTGTACTGAAGTTGACTGTGAAATACTGCTTATCACAAGTCTTAAAGGGATATTTGACCCAAAACGAAATTAAAATCGTCATTTACTTACCCCCTGCTGGAAAACCCCCCCAGCTAAAACCAGCCTAAGCAGGTTGGCTGGTCTTAGCTGGTTTAAGCTGGGTTTTAGCTGGTCTCTCAGCCTGGCCAGCTAAGACCAGCCTGACCAGCTAAGGAAGTGGCCAAAACCCCTCTAAAACCAGCTTTGACCAGCTAAGACCAGGCTGGATGACCAGCTAAAACCAGCCAACCAGCTTAGGCTGTTTTTTTGTGGTTCCAAACCCGTATGACTTTTTTTTCATTCTATGGAACACAGGTTTTAAAGAATGTTAATGCAATTAAAATGTATGTTGTCATGTCGAACCCAAAATCACTACGAAAGTAATCATAACATTGCTTTATGCACTGTATTTCGAGTCTTCTGTAGTCATACAATAGCTCTGTGAGAAACAGGCTGAAATTTTAGTCGTATTTATCATAGTCTTGACAATCTTTTTCTCTGGTGAGGTTTTAAAAGCTGTGACCGGATCATTGAATCAGTGAGTTCGAGCACTTGCCTGGAACAGTTCTAATCGTGAATGAATCATTCAGACCGGTTTTGTGAATTGGATCAACCGAATCATTAGAAAGATCCAAATAATGGCTGAATCAGAACTGCATACTGTACTTACTTTTACTATAACTCAATATGGCAGAATAGTACAATTGTAGCATATGTTCCTGAATTAAGTTAATGTTTTGTTCATAAATCACAAATATTTGTGAACTCTTATGAACATTCCAATGAGATGTAGTGGTGAAAGGCTAAAAAAAAATAGCTATGACTTCAAAAAACTTTGAAATATAGTACACATGAACCACTTTTATAATGTTGTTGTTTTTTTTGTTTTTTTAGCCCTGATATCTTCAGTTACAATTCATTGCCATTACATTCTTTAAAGTCATTTCATTTTCAAGTCCTGCGGGTTGAAACAACATAAGGGTGAATTACATTTTTGGGCGAACTATCCCTTCATGGCAGATTTACGTAAAACAGAAATCAAACATGCATATTGTTTAATTAGAAAGTAATCATAATTGTTTGTCACATTAAAATCTTAATTTAGAGAGATGATTAAGAAACATTGTAGCAAATGAGAAAGAGTAAAAATTAAAAAAAAAGTAGCATCTTTGCTTTCATATCATAGAATGATGATTGACCTGAGTGGGTTTGCCGTGGGCTGCAATGTTTCTGAAATTATTGCTGTGATATAGAATCCACTTTCAAAGTCACCTTCAAACCATGACTATCTCACAGTCCTTAATTTCCTGTCCTGACCATGGCCTCTCGTTGAATGTGAAGTTGGAGTTACCGAGTTTACACATTATATGAGTCAAAACAACTAAAAGACTGTTATGCAGCATTACTTCTGATTGCCTAGAAGAACAGCTGAATGACATACCCTTCCTTTATTTTAAATGTTAAATAAGATTATAACATTCTAGTCTAAGGTAATTACACTGGACAAATGCATAGTTTGTCAAACAAGCTACTAGTGCCAATTTGCCAGCTGAGTGGATGGCATGCTTCACTGGCTTCAATTGTGTTGTCTGAAAAGACCTGCTCTTCACAGAGAATGGACTGTGACTAAATCAAAATGTAATCCTTCTCAACAGAGTTTGTGTAGTCAGATCACCACTTTTAATTTTGATGTCCATGCTATATATCACAGGGATTATTCATTCCAGATAAATCACACATGATGTTCCAAAACAAATTTTGAAAAAAAAATCACTTGTTGGGTTTGTGCTTCCTCAGAAATAGGCCTAATCTTAGTAATTTTCATGGTTCAGCAGCATCCTTTACAAAGCTTCCTCTTTTCTCTCCGTGTTGAAGAGTGTAACAGTTGTAACAGGATGCTCCCATTTATTTCCTCCATAAGGGAATAGATTTTTAACAATAACACCTTTAAAGACAGACTTATTGCGAACTACAAGGTTGATGGTGTATGGTTTTGTTTAAGCTATCAGCCTGCATAATTTGGCCTATTTTTGTTTTTTAATAATCATGTTCAACTGCAGAATTCAAATTGCCTCAGTCTGCTCTTAGTTTATGAAACTATGAAAACCATTTACTTAAATATTTGCATGAGTATTATGCAACAAATTAAAGCCATTGCACAGTCTTGTACCAGTTTTCAAATACTTTTTTGCTTCAAATTAAGGTTTGTAATGTCATTCACCTCGTAGCTGTTAGTTTGGTTAATTGCTCATAACTCTCAGGGCTTTTTAAAAATCTCTATGGGGATGGAAAAAGTAGATGGGCACTGTTGCACTCCACTGGCATCATTGTCTCAGAGTTGTTTAAAGATGTACTTTTTTTCCCACAGCTATAAAAGAGTGGTGACTCCAAAGCGTGCAGGCATTGCAGTGATTGTGTGCTGGATGGTGGCCATCGTAGTCGGCCTGACGCCCATGTTGGGCTGGAACAATCTGGAGAAGCTACGACAGACCAACGGCACCGTGGGTGGTGACCTTCTTGTAACCTGTGAGTTCGAGAATGTCATCAGCATGGAGTACATGGTCTATTTCAACTTCTTCGGATGGGTCCTGCCACCTCTCGTCCTCATGTTGCTCATCTATGCTGAGATCTTCTACATGATCCACAAGCAGCTCAACAAGAAGGTCACCACCAACCAGACCGACCCCACTCGATATTACGGGAAAGAACTCAAGCTCGCGAAATCTCTCGCGCTGGTGCTCTTCTTGTTCGCAGTCAGCTGGTTGCCGTTGCATATCCTGAATTGCATCACTCTCTTCTGCCCTAGTTGTGAAAATTCAGTGACAATTCTTTACGTGGCAATCTTGCTCAGTCATGGTAACTCCGTTGTCAATCCCATTGTGTATGCATTCCGCATTAAGAAATTCCAGAATGCTTTCGTTAAGATCTGGAAACAGTATGTGTGTTGCACGGAGGATCCACATCTGCGCGGTCGGCCCAGCTTTCGCATAGATAGCAAAGAGAGAAGATTGGGGGGCAATGACATCTGACATTTTTTAAAATATGACAGTATAAATGAGTCTACTAGGAAAATGCCTGGGATGTATGCTGTCAGTTTTGAGAATATATTTGCCACAGAAATGGAGAAGATCGAACATTACTGGAAATGTTTCCTTGAAAACTCAGTCAATGGTGCATAATAATGAATTGCATCGTTAGTGAGGGACCATTAAATAAATGAAAGTGGCCTGTTTTAGAGGAATAGCCACAGTTCAACCGGCATTCACATCTGTGGGAAAAATCTTTGATTATGATTTCCTTTTGTGCTGTGGTTCATTCGAATGCGGCTATAACATAAAGGGCTTCATATAATGAGTGCAAAACTGCAGACTCGTAAATGTCAGTGCTTATGAGTACATTAAACCACACTCGTCTTTAGTCAGTAGCGTAAACGCATCTGAGGACTTTGAGAAAAGACATTGAGGATGTGATCTGAGGTAATTTTTATATGCCAGTGAATTCATGTTTGAGAAGTATGGGATTTGTCATTTGCTGCTTTTCAGGATGAACAGGCCTACTTCGTCTTCAAGGGACAGTTTATAAAAATAAAAAAATTCTGTCATTTACACACCCTTGTGTCATTCCAAACCTGTATGAAAAGATATTTTTAAAAATGTCTATAGAATGAAAGTCGGTGGGTTTCAGAATTGTTTTGGACCGCATTGACTTTTATTCTAAACAGCTGAAACATTCATGAAAATATGTTTGTTTAGCAAATGAAAGTCATACAGGTTTGAATATAAGATGACAGAACTTTCATTTTTGAGTGAACTATCCCTTTAAGCAGAACTTTGCGTAATCCTATTGGTCCAATATCAGCAATGTTGCTTTTGCCATATTAGAAAACCTCTTAATTTTTTTAGATGTTTCAGTCTCAGTGAAATAATTTGCCATATTAATACTCATCCCTACTGTATGTTTAACTAAATAACCACTGGAAATTGACGATGTGTTTTCATATTAGTTTTTGTAAGAATAGCACGTTTTTGTGGGGAAATAAGCAATGCAGCCTTCGATTTCACTGCATGATTTTGATATGAAACAAACTGTAGGCGGTTTGCATTTAATATTTAGATTGCTCAAAACTGTGGGCCTGAGAAAAGATAGACAGGAAGGAACCATGAATAAATCAAATTGAGTGATACTGCCGGAGGCCTAATGTTTATTTTTTTGTATTATTATCATTATGCGTTGTTAAAATAAATGATGCATAACCTGTGAGGACAATTGCAGTTGAGTCTTTCAAATGTTCAGGCCTCTCTTTTAAGTTTTAATAAGGCAAGGACATTCAGAGCTTCACCGAAATTGATAATTTCTCAAGTATATTGGAAGAAACTGAAAATTGAGTCACTGAAATTGTGATGTCCTCTGAACGGACCCTGATTTTGATTCGTTGTCCTTGAAAATAGGTGGCAGTGAGTAAAGTGTCCTTTAGACAAGGCCTGATAAATGGTTTGACCTTTTCAAACTGGTCAATCTCAGAAAATACAATCAATTCACACAATTCTTGTGTCGTTTCCTGTGAAACAACCTCTCTCAAACTTCCTGGGTAGATCCTGAAGTAGGATCAAAGCTTACACGGTGACTCGTGTTTCCGCTTCATCAATGGTATTCAGCTGACCTCTGTTTTTCCTTTAGCGTGTGCCAACTGGATAATTTAACTAGTTTAAGTTTATACTTAAGGGTATAAACACTCTGGATTCATTATTTTAATATCAAGTTCAAATGACCCACAAGCTGCAATTACCTGCATCGATCAGTTGAGGCTCTTAATCTAATAGCTGTTAAAAACTGTAACTTAAAGCTACCCGTAATAGCACACTGAGAAGAATTGTGTGTGTTGGGAATAAAGGGTAATCAGATAAAGATATTATCACAGCTTATGGTGGCCACTTCCTCTGTGTGTAATTTTGTTTACTGACAACAAAGCCTGCAGAAGCAATGGTTTTATTTGGCCTAAATGATATAAATGCTATTCTTTTTCCACAAATTGCAGTTGAGAATCACTCTGTGTGAACAGCAGTCACCAGATGGTAACTCGGTATTGTGGTGCCCTCTTGTGAAGGTTTGAAAAAGCGCATTATAATAAGAGTTCATCACTAAGAAAAAGTCACATCAACTAATTTTTATTCAAGTAAAAATAAGCATGCTTATGTTGAATGGCCCAGTCATTATTAGTGAAGTCATTAGCGAGTAATTGTTATTGCCTTATTGTTACTAGGATAGAATAAAACCATAAAATTGCTCAATATGTCCACCCCATATTTATTTTATCTCTTGTGAAGACTAACATTTCACTAATGTTTATTACAGCACACGTGTCCCTATGAGACGGATACATTTGTACAAAGTGCTTCATTTTCAAAGGATTTAAAACACACACTTGTGAGTTACATCAGTGATGTAAAGAAATATGACTACAGAATTTGACAACATCATAAGACACACAAGTCTATTATTAAAAAAAAAAAAAAAAAAAACGTTGGTTGAGAATTCCGGCATCAATTTAAACATTCAATTATCTGTATTAGAGTAAGAAAATGGTAAAAAATTTAATTCTCCATTTTTCTGGCTGTGATTGTCTGAAAAGAGCACCATTTACAGTTTATCCTGTATTACAAATCAAACTTTAGAGAAATGATTGAGGGCCTCTCAGAGAATGAGACAATGAGCTCCAATCTCAACACATGCTGCTCACAGAGACAGAGACCTGGAAAAGAAAAACAACAACAACAATTAGACAATCTGTGTTTAACAACAGCAAAATAAATCTGGGGGAAAATGAGTCATAATGGTTATACAAGTATGATTACTATTTTTTTATTATATTGACTTCTAATTATATATATATATATATATATATATATATATATACACACACACACACATACACACACACACACACACACACACAGTGCCTTGTGAAAGTATTCATACCCCTTAATTTTTTCCCCCTTTTATGTTGCTGCCGTATGTTAAAATGCTTTAAATTACTTTTTTCCCCCACATCAATCTACACTCCACACACCATAATGGCAAAGCAAAAACCAGGTTTTTAATGTCTTTGCAAATTTGTTAAAAATAAAAAAAACATACATGATTCAAAATGATTCAACTTAAATGATTGCATAAGTATCTGGGACAGTTGAAATTTAGCTCAGGAGCATTCATATCGCTTGTAGATGTTACTACACTTCAAGTAAAGTTAAACTGTGGCAAATTCAAATGAATGGATATGATTTGGAAAGGCACACACCTCTCAATAAAAGGCCTAACAGCTGACAACGCATAGAGTAAAAACTAAGCCCTGAGGTCAAAAACAGGATTGCCTCAAGCCACACATGTGGGGAAGAGTTCTGCTACATTGAAAAAATTGTGCTGCATCGAAGGTTAGCAGAAGTATGTAGTCTCCATTACTCTTAGTGGACGAAATTTGAAACAACCAGGACTCTTCCTAGAGCCGACAGCCTCCTGACCAAACTGAGCAATCAGTGGAGAAGGGCTTTGGTTAGACTGGTGACCAATAACCTGATGGTCACTCTAGTTGAGCTCTATGATCATATGTGGAGATAGGAGAAACCTACAGAAGGACAAACATCAATGCAACACTCCACCAATCTGGTCTTTATGGCGGTGTGGCCAAACTCAATCCTTTCCTTAGTGAAGAAATAAGAAAACACACTTGGAATTTGCAAAAAAGCAGCTAAAGACACCTCAGATTGTGAGAAACAAGAGTCTCTGGTCTGATGAAACTCAATTCTAAGCATCATATTTGAAGGAAACCAGGCACTGCTCATCACCTGCAGAGTAACATCCCAACAGTAAAGTGTGCTGGTAGCAGCCTCATGCTGAGGGGTTGTTTTTCAGCGGCAGGGACTGACTCGTCAGAGTAGAAGGAAAGCTCAATGCAGCTAAATATAGAGATAGCCTTAATGAAAACCCAGTCCAGAGCATTCAGAACCTCAGACTGGGCAGAAGGTTTACCTTCCAACAGGACAATGACCCTAAGCACAGTTTTAGTTTAACATATTGCAGCAAGATAAAACGTGAAAAAAAAAGCAAGGGGTATGAATACTTTCGCAAGGCACTATATATATATATATATATATATAGGAAAAAAATAGTGGAAAAAATAAGTTTTTGCATTAGGTAATTAAGCATCCCAAAATGAAATTAAAAACAAACAGAATGCAGTGCTAATGTATTGTGGTCATGTACAGTTGGGTGCGTGGTGGGATTTGGGGCCTAACATACAGTTTTTATTTGTAAAAAGTGTAGAATACAATAAGAATCTGTTTAGTGACACATGAAAAACTGAGGTGAACTATATAGAGCTCAGTCAGAGTAGCACCATATTTAATTCTTGACAGGAATGAAAACGAGATAGAGAGGGAATGAAAATTACGTGAGCTATGCCCTTTACATTGTGTGCCACTGTAAAGACTTCAAATGTATAGTTCACCCAAAAATGAAAATTCTGTCATTAATTACTCACCCTCATATCGTTCCAAACCCGTAAGACCTTCGTTTATCTTCAGAACTCAAATTAAGATATTTTTGATGAAATCCGAGAGCTTGCTGACTCTGCATAGACAGCAACCCAACTGACACATTCAAGGCCCAGAAAGGCAGTAAGGACATCGTTAAAATAGTCCATGTGACATCAGTGGTTCAACCAGTGGTGAGGCTACAGGTGGGCATGGGCCCACACACTTTCAACTGAAGCCCACCCAATGAGAAGTTGGTAATTTTCCAAATGGATGTAATTTATTAAACAATAATAATAACAAACGTCTTATTTCATTATAACTTTAAATATGTAGTTTTAAAAATATTAAACAGAGTTTTCATGGTCAAATTCAGGCAGTTTCCGTCTACAGATTAAACCAGACCACCTGCGAGTGATGGATTTATATATCGTAAACTTCTGAGCCAAGTGTGTTTGAAGCATCATATTAGCATAGGTACAATTTGATCTGCTAAACAGATGCATCTTTTGCGGAAAGAAACACATAAACGTTGTACTGGATACTGTTCTCCACAACAAACTGCATATTTGCAGCTGCTGTGCTCATTTCTACAGTCCTCAACGTTTACTCTCCTTTGAACACAAACTGACAAAAAGACACTTTATTATGAGATCATCTGCAAAGCCCCGTTGTCTCAGACTGAGGTAATGCTTTACAATAAACTTCCTTTAGTTAACATTACTTAATGCATAAACTAACATTAACAATGAGCCACATTTGTTACATTATTTCTTTGTTAACAATATATATCTTTGTTTACATTATAGTAAATAAAAATACAACTGTTCGTTAGCTCAGGTATGAATGTTAACAGATCTCTTTTCTGTCAAAAATACTAGAAAAGGTAGTATCCTCTCAGCTATGTTCCCGGCCCGACGAAACATAATTCGCAAAACTAACAGAATGCATAGCTGATAAAAAACTGGATGACTAGTAATTTCCTACTGCTTAATTGTGAAAAAACAGAGCTGTTCATTATCAAAAACCTTTGCATGTAATAATCTAGAACACTGTCTAACACTTAATGGCTGTGCTGTCAATTCTTCATCATCAGTTAGGAACCTAGGTGTGCTATTTGATAGCAATCTTTCCTTTGAAAACCATGTTTCTAGCATTTGTAAAACCGCATTTTTCCATCTAAAAAATACCTCTAAATTATGACCTATGCTCTCAATGTCAAATGCAGAAATGTTAATTCATGCGTTCATGACCTCAACGTTAGATTATTGTAATGCTTTATTGGGTGGTTGCTCTGGAAGTATGACCATATTAGCCCAGTTCTGTCAACTCTGGACTGGCTCCCTATTAAACATTGTATACATTTTAAAATCTTGCTAATTACTTATAAAGCCCTGAATAGTTTAGCTCCTCAGTACTTGAGCGAGCTCTTATCGCATTATTGTCTTTCATGTCCACTGCAATCTCAAAACTCTGGCCATTTGATAATAACTAGAATATCAAAATCAACTGTGGGCGGCAGATCCTTTTCCTATTTAGCACCCAAAATCTGGAACAATCTACTTAGTGTTGTTCGGGAGGCAGACACACTCTGTCAGTTTAAATCTAGATTAAAGACCCATCTCTTTAACCTGGCATACAAATAACACACAATCACTTTTCTATAATTCAAATCCAATAAAGGATTGTTAGGCTGCATTAATTAGGTCAACTGGAACCAGGAACACTTCCCATAACACCCAATTGTTACATCATAAGAAGAATGGCATCTACGCTAATATTAGTGTGTTTTATTCTTATTCCGAGGTCACCGTAGCCACCCAGATCCAGTCTTTATCCAGATCAGATGGTGGATCAGCACCTAGAGACAACCTCTACAGCCCTGAATGTAAGCGGAGACCATGTAGATGAGCCCCAGAGACAGATCCCCTGTGAAGACCTCATCAACTAGACGGCAATCGGGACAAGAGAACCAAACGAGTCCTCTGCACAATCTGACCTGTGTTGCAGCCTGGAATTAAACCACACCATGCTGGTTTAGTCTAGCCAGAGGTTTTCTCCATTTCTGTCACTGATGGAGTTTTGGTTCCTTGCTACTGTCGCCTTTGGCTTGCTTAGTTGGGGACACAATTTCTGGCAATATTGTCGGCTTGATTGCACAAACACTATTGGAAGAGAGCTGAACTGAATGACATCACTGAATCATCAATGAACTGACTATAACTGAAAAACTGACTGTTTGTTATTGTCCTCTTGCATTATTGACAAACTATTTTCCTGATTGACACAATCTGAATTGTATAAAGCGCTATATAAATAAAGGTGACTTGACAACGTTTGATTTTAATAATATATTAGTAAATGTTGAAATTAATGCTAATCAATGCTTTATAAGCACCTTTGTGACCTGGTTTTATGTAGGCCCACCCACTTAAACATTTCTGGCCTCGCCCCTGGGTTCAACTGTAATTTTATAAAGCTACGAGAATACTTTTTGAGCATAAACAAAAACATTTAAAATAACAACTTTATTCAGCAATTTCTTCTCTTCTGTGTCAGTCTCCGTCGCCATTCGCAGGAGTACCATGATGTATGCGTGTGGTGCTGCTAACAAAGGAGCCGGCGTTCTGAAGTAGAACCCGGATGTGCTGCGCCTTGTTTTGCAAGCAGAGGAAAGCTCATGCATGGTATTGTCACGAACATGTCGAAGACTGACACGGAAGAGAAGAAATTGTTGAACGAAGTCATTATTTTTGTTATCTTTGCGCACAAAAAATATTCTCGTAGCGCCATAACATTACGGTTGAACCACTGATGTCACATGGACTATTTTAACGATGTCTTTACTACCTTTTTTGGGCCTTCAATGTGTCAGATGTGCTGCTGTCTATGCAGGGTCATAAAGCTCTCAGATTTCAACAAAATATCTTAATTTGTTTTCCAAAGATGAACGAAGGTCTTATGGGTGGGTGAGTAATTAATGACAGAATTTTCATTTTTGGGTGAACTATACCTTTGAGTCTATCCGTCACAGCTGTGTTAAATTCAATATGGTTCTATAATTCAAATCCAATAAAGGATTGTTAGGCTGCATTAATTAGGTCAACTGGAACCAGGAACACTTCCCATAACACCCAATTGTTACATCATAAGAAGAATGGCATCTACGCTAATATTAGTGTGTTTTATTCTTATTCCGAGGTCACCGTAGCCACCCAGATCCAGTCTTTATCCAGATCAGATGGTGGATCAGCACCTAGAGACAACCTCTACAGCCCTGAATGTAAGCGGAGACCATGTAGATGAGCCCCAGAGACAGATCCCCTGTGAAGACCTCATCAACTAGACGGCAATCGGGACAAGAGAACCAAACGAGTCCTCTGCACAATCTGACCTGTGTTGCAGCCTGGAATTAAACCACACCATGCTGGTTTAGTCTAGCCAGAGGTTTTCTCCATTTCTGTCACTGATGGAGTTTTGGTTCCTTGCTACTGTCGCCTTTGGCTTGCTTAGTTGGGGACACAATTTCTGGCAATATTGTCGGCTTGATTGCACAAACACTATTGGAAGAGAGCTGAACTGAATGACATCACTGAATCATCAATGAACTGACTATAACTGAAAAACTGACTGTTTGTTATTGTCCTCTTGCATTATTGACAAACTATTTTCCTGATTGACACAATCTGAATTGTATAAAGCGCTATATAAATAAAGGTGACTTGACAACGTTTGATTTTAATAATATATTAGTAAATGTTGAAATTAATGCTAATCAATGCTTTATAAGCACCTTTGTGACCTGGTTTTATGTAGGCCCACCCACTTAAACATTTCTGGCCTCGCCCCTGGGTTCAACTGTAATTTTATAAAGCTACGAGAATACTTTTTGAGCATAAACAAAAACATTTAAAATAACAACTTTATTCAGCAATTTCTTCTCTTCTGTGTCAGTCTCCGTCGCCATTCGCAGGAGTACCATGATGTATGCGTGTGGTGCTGCTAACAAAGGAGCCGGCGTTCTGAAGTAGAACCCGGATGTGCTGCGCCTTGTTTTGCAAGCAGAGGAAAGCTCATGCATGGTATTGTCACGAACATGTCGAAGACTGACACGGAAGAGAAGAAATTGTTGAACGAAGTCATTATTTTTGTTATCTTTGCGCACAAAAAATATTCTCGTAGCGCCATAACATTACGGTTGAACCACTGATGTCACATGGACTATTTTAACGATGTCTTTACTACCTTTTTTGGGCCTTCAATGTGTCAGATGTGCTGCTGTCTATGCAGGGTCATAAAGCTCTCAGATTTCAACAAAATATCTTAATTTGTTTTCCAAAGATGAACGAAGGTCTTATGGGTGGGTGAGTAATTAATGACAGAATTTTCATTTTTGGGTGAACTATACCTTTGAGTCTATCCGTCACAGCTGTGTTAAATTCAATATGGTGTCTAACCTGACTGAGGTCGATTGTATTGTGCATTTGAGTTAAACTTGACCGCATCGGTTGTACTGACTAGATTCAGTAGTTTTCGGTGACTGGGTTATGCCAGTCTCTGATCTTCCTACTTGGAGTCAAACCATGTGTGAATGTTGACATGTCTCTAGTTCACATAACCAAGTGCTGCTTAAACCATTTAGGGTTAATGTTACGGGTACTGTTACGAGGACTAGATCTGCTGGAGCTGTCTTTAGATCAGGGATGTCCAATTCTGGTCCAGGAGAGACACTTTCCTACAGAGTTTAGCTCCAACTGGGGCTAGATCTAAACTCTGCAGGAAGGTGGCCCTCCAGGAACAGGCCTGTACACCCCTGCTTCAGATGCTTTGGCTTAGAGTTAATTTCCTCAATGAAAACTATGATGAAAAATATTTGTTGATGATGGCTAAGATGAGACAAAGACGAGATCATGCTGACATCACTAAACACTAACTGTGACTATAACAACATGCAATATCATTGACAAAAAAAGACAGGACTAAAATGTAGATTAAAACATAAAAGTGCTCTATACGTTTTTCTATTTTCTTTTGTAAAGTCTTTTTTGTTGTTGTTTTGATAGAAAGACATGAATATAATTTGAAATTATAGACATGAATATTAGGAATGACACTGCCGCAGCTTTTGAAAGAAGATTTTGAGTTTTACCAGCTTTCAGAAAGTAGAGAGTGTGTTTATATTTATGATCATATAACACATTCGAGAAACTACACTACACTTAAAAATAAAGGTGCTTCAAAAGGTTCTTCAAGCGATGCCATAGAAGAACCATTTTTGGTTCCACAAAGAACCATTCAGTCAAAGGTTCTTTAAAGAACCATCTCTTTCTTACCTTTTTGTAATCTGAAGAACCTTCTTTCGCCACAAAGAACCTTCTGTGAAACAGAAAGGTTCTTCAGATGTTAAAGGTTCTTTATGGAACCATTTAGACAAAAAGGTTCTTCTATGGCACCGTGAAGCACCTTTATTTTTAAGAGTGTAGATAAGGTAAAGTAACCATGTCTATGGTTATACAGTGGGTACGGAAAGTATTCAGACCCCCTTAAATTTTTCACTCTTTGTTATATTGCAGCCATTTGCTAAAATCATTTGTTAATTTTTTTTCCTCATTAATGTACACACAGCACTTCTTACCCAGCCCCCTTGCTCTGCAATCCAGTTTGTTAGACGGTTGTTTACGAATCCCATCATAGCGACCTCAACTACATTCGTCATGGCAGGGCAGTTTTTCTTCATAAAGAGTCCCAGTGTGATGGCAGCCTTGAGGAGCTGCTTCTCTGAGGCCACTTCTGCTCTTTCCACAACCCACATCTTACACAAGCTGTCCACGCTATCACTAAACACAGTCACCACCTAGAGGACAGACATGTCAGAGGCTACAGATGCCAAATGTCAAACGTGGTTAAAACATGTGGTTAAAACATGTAGTTGCCATGCAATTAAAGCAAAAAGGCTTAGCTATCAGTCCCAAACAGGAAATACTGCATACTTTTTGAGGCTGCTCAAGAAGTTTCACTTTTACTAGGTTCAGAGAAGAGAACGAAACGTGAAGATATCAACTCCACTGCTTTACAGCAGCCTACAGTTATTGCCTGTAATTATGAGTGGACCAGGAACAAAGTTACACTGATAAAATATCCAATGTTCACAAAGTGATACAAACATTCTTCAGATTAGTTGATCAGTGTCTGAAGAAAGACCATTTGGACTCACCTGATCGGCTGCAGCTCCCTGTACATTCTTCATCAGCGGCTGGATCACTTTCTCATCATAATCGTCACCCAGTTCCCTGAGCTTATGGGCTATTTTTACAGGGTCAAATGAGTTCTCTGCAGAACAAGTAGCTAAGATTTCATTTATGATAGATTTAAAATAATGTATCTGGTTATTGTGCACTTACATGACAAGAGAGAAAACATTTAAGGATGTTGTCATAATAGCAATTTTTTTAAATTGTGTACATTTTAATAAGGTGTTTACATCGTTAAATCAGTGTTTCAACTGTGTACAACATCAATAAATCAGCTTGTAAACAATGTCACATAGTTAGATTTTAATAAATACATGTACTATATTATATATTTTTACTTAACCTGTTAGTGGTATTTATTGTATGTAGAAAACAATGTCAGGAAAACATATTATGACGTTTAAATATGTATATTTAAACAACGAAGTGGAGTAGAAACTTTAAGAGGTTGATATAAAAACTGCCTTATGTGCATTTGATTTGAGTTTTGATTATTACATCTAAAATTGATGTGTTTCAAAAATAAGGTCAGCTATGCAAGGTGTGAGCAAGGCATTGTTTACACGTATGTTCAAAAGAGGCAACGCCTTTTCGTAGAATGACTCGAATAATACATAGAAATCAAAGTGGAACACTTACCATCTTCAGGACCATCAGTCTCCACCATATCAACATCTCGCTCATTTTGTAATAGGCAGTGTATGACGTGATATGTTTGTTTCTGAATGCCAGCTGCCGCCATCGCGTTTACCGGTGTTACAGTATATTCAGTTCCTTTGATGGTTCCACTGGGTGGCGCCTGTATGGAGATTCATGTTGTGGGCGTGTCCTTGAGGCAACGCGCAAACGAATGGGACTGAAATGTACACATTGTTCAAATCGCATAAAGCAGCTGCTTCCTTCCTTGTTATAGTGACATTTATTTAATTTAACTTGTATGTTCTATACCCTACAACAGGGTTTCCGAAACTGGGGCTTGTGAGTTGAAGAAAAGTTGAATTTTAATGTTCTATTATTTGATTAGAAATACAGTAAAACAGCAAAATGAAAAAGAAAAAAAAACGTATCCTTTTTAATATATTTTAAAATGTAATTTATTCTTGTGATGGCAACTCTGCATTTTCAGTGTCACGTGATCCTTCATAAATCATTCTAATATGCTGATTTGGAGCTCAAGAAACATTTCTTCTTATTATCAATGTTTGAAAACAGTTTTTACTACATATTTTTGTTGAAACCATAATACATTAGCTTTTGCTGGCAAAACAGCCCTGACCCATCGAGGCATTGGCTCCACTAGACCCCTGAAGGTGTGCAAGATGTTAGCAGCAGATCCTTTAAGTCCTGTAAGTTGCAAGGTGAGGCCTCCATGGATCGGACTTGTTGGTTCAGCACATCCCACAGATAATCGATTGGATTGAGATCTGGGGAATTTGGACCATTCCTGAACCATTTTCGTTTTGTGGCAGGACGCATTATCCTGCTGAAAGAGGCCACATGGGAATACAGTTTCCATGAAAGGGTGTACATGGTTTGCAACAATGCTTCGGTAGGTGGTATATGACCCAAGGTTTCCCAGCAGAACATTGCCCAAAGCATCACACTGCCTCCACCGGCATAGTGCATTCTGGTGCCATGTGTTCCCCAGGTAAGCAACGCACACGCACCCAGCCATCCACGTGATGTAAAAGAAAACGTGGTTAATCAGACCAGGCCACCTTCTTCCATTGCTCCATGCTTTGCTGAGAGATGGAGAGGCAATGACGGGAACAGGTTTTACAGGAACCTCTGGACCATGAGAAGATCTTCTGGGATCACAACAACAATTACATGGAGCTTTTCCACAAAGTTGGCTGTGACAGGGCAATTTTGGGACTGCTAGACACTAGGCTTGTCATCCCTGCAAGATGCTTTAGAGTGGAGGGAACTCTGAAACTGTGGCGGGAAGTAGTGCAAATAAAATTTCCATTTCATTTGGATTTGACTTGTAAATATGAAGATACTTCTTTATGCTATCTATACACTATTTTTAGGTTTTCTTTAGGATGATCGAGTAAGAATGATTTTATGAGCCTCTGTTTTAGCTGTAACAAATATTTGTAGTATAATATGATATGATGATATGATGATAGGTTCACTTTAAATCTAATTGTTATAGTTTGATCTTTCTTTCCTATTTCTGTAATGAGTTAATAATCCTGCACCGCCTCCGCTCTGCTTGCACATGCAGTGTGAAACCGGTGTAAGAGTGAAACGATTTGATTATCAGTTAATTCTTAATCATATAATTAATCTGCAAATCTTTCTTTCGCTGTTAGTGCACATGCAGGTACAAACGCAAAAGCCTGAGTCTCGCTGTATCGCTCAGGCTGCACTGCAG